AATTAAAATTTCCAAAGGCACTTCATCACAAAGCGACAATTTCTTCAAGATGTTTTCGTAAATGCCTATATGTAGATATTGACCTGGGAAAACATCTCTAATTTTCTTCTTGCTAGAATCTTTTTTTTGTTACGAGTAGATATTTTTCCAAATTTAAACTTAAATTAATAGTCTGAAATAAACGTTGAGAACATTTAAAAGCTATTTAAAGACTTGAAATTAAATCCTCAAGGTATACGAACAGTGATAACAGGCGATGGCACAGACCGTTACCAAATAAATATCGATTTAAACTTTGATTTTATATGGGAAAGAGTCTTCCCCCTCTTAATTAGCAAGTGATAAGAAGCTCGCGCGGGGATTCTTGTCACCTGAAAAAGTCAGTCTCAGTCTAGGCTTTGACCATTACAGTCTTAAATCATCTCAGAATATTCATAAATCAAATCTCGAAGTGATACAACATCTTTACCTAATACATCCTTTGGAAAACTCAGAATTATCAAGCAAAGGTGTCGATCAATTTTGATTACACCACCGAGATTTGTAATTACCCACACAGCACGTAATATTGCAATAATATTGTAGAAATATTGCAATATAGTAATAATATTACAGTTAACTAGAAAATGTTATAAAAATATTATTGAGTGTGGCGGTCTGTTTGACTCCACATTTTGGCGCGTTTCGATACGTCATTATGAAACGCGTCAAGCTTCATTGCTACTGCAGTACAAGATAAATTCGTAATTAATCGGCAATTGTTTCTCATGGAATACTAAATAAAGCTCACAATTAATTAATTAAATCAACGCCGATAGATAGAAGGTTTTCTCAAATTTAGAAAACGTTCAGCCTGGGTATAAATATCCCCTCGAAACGAGCCGATGCAAGCCACTTGCACTCTGGCAAATAAATCAGTACCCATTCATCCTGGAGCCTACTCAAGGAGGAATACCGTGGAGGCTAATTCCGATTGACCTCTCACCGTCTCCTCCAAGAAAACACGAGGTGAAGGAGCCTTGGATTCTCCACCCGCTGGATCTATCACCGCCAGCTAGGGAGAGACCGCCGAGGAGCTGCCTACATCCTGTGGACCCAAGGATCGCCGGATACAACTCACCGAGCATCGCAGAACAACGGAGAAAGGAAGCCATATCCATCGCAGAGGACGATAAATTTTGGAAGAGACTGGAAAACACCAAGGCGACGCAGACGGAGAAAACCATCGACCAAGAGGAAACCAGCCTCCTCTTTGCCGACAGAGTCCTAGGTCCGAGGAAGTTAACTAAAACGTTTCCGCCGATCATTTGGAGGGAGAGACTCCTTTAGAAGAGAACAAACGGCCCTTTTCAGGGCCACCTAAACTTCACCCAAAATAAATACAAATATAAAATTTGTATAAATTAAAATAAATATATTACTTAAAAATTTAAAGCTGTGAGAAATTTAATTCTCCACATTGAGATATTACATTGTGATATATTACAACGTAATATTGCAAGAATGTTACTCAGATATTGGAATAAGTTATATCGCAATGCAATATTAATGCAATATTGTACAAATATTGCAATAAGAAATATCTATCTGTAATATTATCGCAATATCGTGCAAATATTGCAAATGCGATATATTTTATTGCAA